CCAACAATGTAGGAGGGTTCCCTTTTCTCTACACCCTCTCCAGCATTTATTATTTGTAGACTTTTTGATGATTCTGACTGGAGGTGATACCTCATTGTAGTTTTGATTTGCATTTCTCTAATTAGCGATGTTGAGCACTTTCTCATGTGCCTGTTGGCCATGTCTTCTTTGGAGAAATGTCTATTTAGATCTTCTGCCCACTTTTTGATTGTGTTGTTTTGATAAATCAACTATACTTCAATAAAAAGAAAAATCTTTTAAATGGGCTACATTTTGAAGTACTTACTGAATTAGGGTGATCCTCAGTGAGGTACTAACGAGCCATGTCAGAAATGTGGATTCTGTTAGGCTGGTTTCACTTTACTTTTTTGCATGGCAAAACTTGTATGCCTTGAAATATCTTCACTGTTCCCTCACATTTAAACAGATGTGATTCTAGGTTGGGATTTTTTTTCAACACATTGAAATTTTTAAGTCTTATTTTTACTGTTAAAATAACACATCTGCTGTCCACCTGGTCTTTGTTCCTTTGTGAGTGACCTGGTTTTAGAAGACTCTTTGCATTTGATGTTATTTTATCTATAATGAATCCAGGAGTATAGTTTTCCTTATCTTTTCTGTTTAGTGCTTGATAATCTAATCTGAGGTCTTTCATCTTTCTTTAATTCTAGGGAACAGTATTTCTTTATCCAGTGTGTTCACTGGATGATTCTAACTTTATTCCTACTTCATGTTTCCAACACGCTCTTATGTAGTCAACAAAACAGATAAAGTACCCAACCTTGTGGAGATGATGAGAGGCTGACAGATTGGCAAGTGTGGTCCTTTGTGGGGAGGATCTGGGACATTCATTCTGAAGTGAAATGCAAGCTGACACCTGAATGCCAAGGAGCCAACCACTCACACATCTGAGTGAGGAATGTGATGGAACAAGTCCAAACAGTAAGTAATAAGTTGATCAATTATTAATTTTTAGGATTACCTCTGGCATCGCTGGTACCTATCTTCAGGTCCATGCAGAACTTAAGCTTCCATTCTCTCTCATGAAAAGATTAAACCTGTCTTGTACCAAGTAGTATAATACTCTATTATCACTTGTCATACACCCTAGTACTGGTATAAAGAGAATTCATTGGAAGGTGGAGAAAAAGGTAGGAACACAGCAGGTATAACCTTGGTGGTGAGATAAATAGGGTAAAGGAAAGCCTCCTGCACCCCATGCTCCAAAATGAGTCCATGCCTGGTTCCCCAGCACAAGGTAGTCAGGTCAGAGATCTCATTTTGATGAAACGATAAGATGAGATTCACTTCATCTCTTTCAAGAAATACGCTTAGTATTGGTGGTGGTGACAGCAGCTAAAATCCTTATTCAAAAATCCAGTAATAAATTGTACAGAGAGCAAGAGAAAAGAGGGGTAAGATAATATAATTGATCTTTTCTCACCAGAGGTTTTCATCGGTACTGAGAAATGTTTTTTGGTTAACAGTTCCCAAACCTCACTAATTTGCATACCTGTCATAGATTTTGCTATGTAGAATTAGTCTGTGGTGACGAAAATTAGAAGACTGGTTACCTTGGGGGTAGGGTTATTAATTAGGAGGGCAGAAAGCCTTCTTTAAAGAAACACCCCATTTAATCTGGATGGTAAGTTACACAGTGGATACACTAAACTGAGTATAAGATTTCTTTATTGAGATGTTGTATCTCAATAAAAAGTGAAAATGAAACTTGCCATGTTTCTATAATAACTGTGCTATTTTTATATTTCTTTAAATAACTTTTTAAAGCTAAGAAGAAATGAAATGTTCATCTGAGCACCTTAATTGTATAGGTGTGGGGGGTGGTGGTGAGTACTGAAAATGAAAAAGCAGGCACACATTATTTTATAAACATCCTGAAATACTTTAGAGAAGAGGAACGGCTCACACAATCCCCCCGCTATCAAAGACCTCTTCAGGTGGTGACATTTAAGCAAACAGTTAATGATATAGAGGAATCTAAAAAGTAGTTAAGACTCAGGAAGAAATAAAAAAGACCCAGAGATGTGACTTGGGGGCTGATCTGTAGAGTGATCTGACTGGAGGAGATAGATTTGTGAAAGGGAGATCAGGAAAAATTATGGACAAATTAATTTATCCTTTAGGGCTGCGTTTCTCCACTGGAACCTGTGGACGTAGCTCAGGAATTTGAGTTTTAAAATGTGTATTCATTTCAATCAGATCTAAACAAAATGTATAACAAGTACACTATAGATCACATGAATGACCAACTACTATACAATCAAGTACAGCTACCTGTGAGTGTTCATACTTTCCAATTATATTGGTACCAAGTAACACCTAAGAGAGACAGTATTTTTGTTGCATCTGGCTGCCATCTGCTTGGTGCTGTTGTCAAACTCATGTCCTAGATATGCACCATAGACTACATTACAACATGTTGTATTTTAAGCTTAGTTTGCCACCTCTAAGCCAGAGATAAAAATGTAAAAATTTGTTTTTATAATTCACTTTAAAAGTCATTTCAGGGCTTCCCTGGTGGCACAGTGGTTGAGAGTCCGCCTGCCGATGCAGGGGACGTGGGTTCGTGCCCCGGTCCAGGAGGATCCCACATGCCGCGGAGCGGCTAGGCCCGTGAGCCATGGCTGCCGAGCCTGCGCGTCCGGAGCCTGTGCTCCGCAACGGGAGAGGCCACAACAGTGAGAGGCCCGCGTACCACGCACGCACACACACACACACACACACAAAGTCATTTCAACTTTTAATCAAACCTGTTTAGAGTTAAAATCATTACTTAAGTTAGAGACGTAAAATGTATATAATGGAAAGACAAGCTTCACTAGATTTCGACAAGTTACCTCTTCTCTGAATGCAGCAATGGTTGTAAACCAAGTGATAACAATAAGTGATTCCAAAGAAATAAAGACCAAAAGATATCTTTAATTTTACTCATAAATATGATTCCTTGGGCTTGATTTTTATAACCATAATCAATGATAAAGTATTAATACATAGTATGTTATTTGTGAAGATGTACTGAATACAGCAAATGGAATCATAAAAGCTTAAGTAGCATTAACTTAAAAAACTCAAAACCAAAACAATCTTAGGAAGTAAGAGTATAAAATTTAAAACCAGAAACACTTAATGTTTTGAATATAAACGTTAGTGCATTTCAGGCTTTTTATAAAGTATTACTTCAAAGTTCTAAGACTAAAAAATCAAATACAATTGCTAAGACATCAGTGAAAGATTCCATCAAACATATTTGCCTGGAAATGTTCAAGTACCACTTTCACTATACCTCTCAGTACATTCAGGAACTGCCTTGTAATACAGAAGAATGACTCACCGAATAGTAAAGCTAATGAAGTATTTTTCTTGGCAATTTGACAAAGTGAGGGAAGACAAATCCTGGTCTGAGAATACCTTTTTATACAGATGAAGCAGGGAGCATTTGTTTCAATATCATGGAGTGAATACATCTGTTCCTCTTGCCCATTAAACTAAAATCTGGAAACTGAAGTAACAAAGGATGAAAGAGTCATTAAACTCCCAGAAAACACAGGAGATGACAACAGAAGATTTCAGAAGTTGAAAAATAACCGCATGGGTGGTAACAGTCTTAAGAGGCTGGAGAACAAGTTCATACAGTTCAGATTTGAGATCGTTTATCAGGCAACCAAGTAAAAATATCAAGTAGGCAGTTGGAAGTGAGTTCAGGAGAAAGATTCTTGATGGAGATATAAACCTGAGTCATCACGACATAGTTGGCATTTAATATAGTACACAGTTGGCATTTAAAGCAACAAGACCATCAAGGGAACCCACTTGGGAGATTCTAATGTTAAGGAGTCAAAGACGTAAGAAAAAAATAGCAAAGGAGATTGAGAAAGAACCAGAAGTAGGAAGAACCAGGCAAATGTGTTTGCTGAAAACCTAGCAAACTAAAGAAATGGTTTAGTGGAAATGAAACAACTATGTGAAATGCTGCTGAAAGATCAAGTAAATGAGGTCGTAGAGGTCACTGGAGACTTTAAAAATCTGACTGGAATGGGTTTAGGAAAAAAATGGAAGCAAAACAAGTCAGTGAATATAGACTTGTTTCAAGGAGTTTGCTGTAAAACAAGAAATGGGGCCTTTCTGTTGGCTCTAGCTAGGACAGACTATATCCATAAAAGTAAACGATACATGGGCACAGGTGCTGGTAGGTTTACAGATGCAGTGGTGGCAAGTTCTTTTCTGATCATTTTTATTTCCTCTGTGTGGACAGGGAGCAAGCCCAGAGGGAGGAGGTATTAGAAATGTTAAGGACAGAAATAAACCCATGAAATAATCATTTGAGCTCAATGTAAGAGAATGGATTAGGAAAACTTAGTGTGACTACCAAGCAACCAACTAAGGTTATGATGATGATTTGTCAGCGATTGGTAAACATTTCCACTTCGAAAAAAATCCACTCTGTAGTCTCTTCTTTCCTTTGGCTGAATATTCTCTTAAAATAGTTTTTCTTCTGAGTCCTAGGTTCCATTACCCTAAGGCAGAGAGAATCTCATCTACATTTGAATATACATGGCAGCAAGAATAACAACCTCCACAAAAATGTATGGTTCAGGGAGCATTCAGTTTTCATATACATACAGGGCCTAAATGGTTCCCATTTTGCTCCTCTGTTATGGATCTTGTGTTACTTATATTCCTAAGTCTATTTTAACCCCTCCCTGCTATAAATTTTCAGGGTCCCTTTTCTCTTGTTCTGTTCTTGTTTTGCATGGTACACTGCCACTTCCAATTTCTGGTCTTTTGTCAAGAACCTATAATTTCTTCCAGAGCCTTCTCTGCATTGATCCAAGGTCCAGTTGAAATCTTTATATGACATATGTGTATAGTACTAATGAATGAAACAAGAGTTACCATAATGTTGAATCACAATGCCAGTCAAGACGTTTGCTAGTATTTCACCTGAGCCATTATTTATCTGAAAAAATAATCTGATGAGATCATCTTATAACAAACATTTATTTGGCAAACTATTTTATAGAAAGAGACCCTAAAAATCAAACCATTTCTTATTTAAACAATAGAGAGTATAATCCCAATCTTTCCCCCATCCAAAGCCTACTCCATAACTGAAGTACCAAAAACTCATGAACTGTACTGCTAAAAAGGAGGGTGGGGGAAAGACATTAAACTTCCACAGGAAGACTGTATAAATCTGGCAGTGGTTAAGGACACAACAGCCTATACCCAGGAGTACTATCGAGTCCGAAAAATTAACTGAAACTTACTATGAATATGTCTTTGCTCTTAATAAGGCTCAGAAACATATGCAATGGTACAAGTTATATTATGTAAACTGATATAATCAAAGAAGTAGAGTGAAAAATCTGGATTTTAACACCAATACAGATCACCAGATGTAAACAAGAAGTTTTTAAAGACATTCTTTTAGCTCCAATTTAAAACAAACATTCGGGACTGGAATCTTCAGAATTTTCTAGTATCTTGAAAATCCCCATCTTCTCTTTAATTGGTCCTGAGGCATTCATTTGATCTAAGAGAAAAATATAAAAACAAGTTTTTTTTTTAAAGTATAAGAACTTAAAAAGAAATCTTAAAAGAGAGGTCCACTATGTTTTTATGAGAAGTGAGTCATCTGTCCAAAATTTTAAAATCCACAGAAATGTGGGCCACTTTAGCAAGAAAGTACACTCCTCTTATTAAAACTACAACTGGCCTCCAGGGAACAAACAAACTGAAACATCAGTTTGCTAATCAAAATCACTTCTGCTGTATTTAAGATATACAGATACATAGCAATAAACAACACCAATCTGAATTATGTTCTCAGAGATATTTTTTTAAAAGCCCAATTATGGTTAGTTTAAAAGCAGGAAAGCAAATTACCATGAAAATATATCTTTATACACTCCCATAGCTAATATGAAATCTATCTTTTGCATTTTTGTCAATATGATAGCTATTGGAATGAAAGCACTACTGGTTTTAATTTGCATTCTCTGATTCCTAAGGAGATTGAAGCATCTTTTTATGATCGCTGGCTGTTTCTTTCTCTCCTGGTAATTGTCTGCTCTTAAGCTGTCCAGTTTTCTTGTTGATATTTAGTTATTTATATACAATAAACATTTCCTGTGTGCCGTAAATATTTGTAGTTTGTCTCTTATCTGTTTACGGTATTGTTTGTTTTTACAGAAGTCTTTAAATTAATAAAATCTATTAATCTCTTCATTTAGTTTGAGAGTTTTGTATCCTGTTTAAGAATTCTTTTCCTGGGGCTTCCCTGGTGGCACAGTGGTCGAGAGTCCGCCTGCCGATGCTGCCGATGCAGGGGACGCAGGTTCGTGCCCCGGTCCGGGAGGATCCCTCATGCTGCGAAGCAGCTGGGCCCGTCAGCCATGGCTGCTGAGCCTGTGCATCCGGAGCCTGTGCTCCGCAACGGGAGAGGCCACAACAGTGAGAGGCCCGCGTACCGCAAAAAAAAAAAAAAGAATCCTTTTCCTGGACTTCCTTGGTGGCGCAGTGGTTAAGAATCCGCCTGCCAATGCAGGGGACGCGGGTTCAAGCCCTGGTCTGGGAAGATCCCACATGCCGCAGAGCAAGTAAGCCCGTGCACCACAACTACTGAGCCTGCACTCTAGAACCCACAAGCCACAACTACTAAGCCCGAGAGCCTAGAGCCTGTGCTCCGCAACAAAGAGTAGCGCTCGCTCGCTGCAACTAGAGAAAGCCCGTGCACAGCAACAAAGACCCAATGCAGCCAAAAATAAATAAAAATAAAAATTAAAAAATTTACTAAAAGAAAAAAAACCAACAATGGGTAAGGGGGAGAGGAGTCGGCCAATTCCGGAATGCAGGTCATTTTACTGGACAAATAACCCAGTTTTTCCAACAAATCGATGGCATGGAAAAACAAAAGTGAGGAGGGTGATATAGAAGAAAAGAGATATAGCGAACAATGAAACTTGGATCCTGATTCAAACCGTAAAAAGATTTGAGATAACTGGAGAAATCTGGATATGAACTGGGTATTAGCTGATATTAAGGTTTCAGGACCAACTCTCTTAAATTTAATAATGACATAGTGACTATGTTTAAAAACATGTTCTTCTCAGTAAAAGATGCCTAAGAAAGTGGCTATGGGTAAAATGTCATGAGTTTAACATTCTGACTAAAGAAAATGGCAATGAAATAAAATTGGCTAAATGTTGTAAACTATTAATGGCAGAACGAATTATCCACAGAGGTATATTATACTATTCTCTCTACTTATGTATATGTTTCAAAGTTTCTGTAAAAATAATAAGTAAAACCATGAGAGATACTTACCTAGGAGATCACTTCGATCTAACAACAACTCCAGATCTTTATCACTAATGACCTTCTCTCTTGATCCTTTTACTTCCCTATAAGGAAACAAGATATTCACATCTATATGATAAATCAAAACTATGCATTATATTTTTCTAAAATTAAAACAATCTTACCTTTCATAATCTCTAGATTTTAATAATTCCATTAATTCCTTAGGGTCTAAAAAGTTCTTAGATTGATTTAATCCAGATTGACCACCTTTGAAATGATCTAGAAAAAATTTTCAAGAAATTCAAAACACTCAAAATTGCCTTTAAAACCAAAATACAATACATTACAAATCAATCAGAATGCCTTAATTAAAAAGGACAGACAAACCAAGTGTTGGTAAAAAAAAGAAAAGCAACTGCAATCAATCATACTTTGCTGGTGGGAGTGTAAAATGGTTGGGGAAAAGTTTGGCAGTTTTCTATAGCTAAACATACACCCACTCTAAGACCAAGAACAAACACATACATATGACCATATATATTTGTATAAGAGGAGCTTATGCATAAGAACCAAAATCTGTAAACAATTCAAACATCAATCCACAAAAGGATGGATGAATTATTCAGCAATTTTTTTGTTTAAATCGCAAACTTCTAACACACACAACATATATGAATCTCAAAATATTATGTCGAATATTAAGTAGCTAGGCAAAAAAAGAATACATACAACTGAATCCAGGTATGAAGTTAAAGGAAAAACTAACCTATATGACAAAAATTGGAATAGTGGTTGCCTTCTAGTGAGGGGCAAGGGAGCCTCAGAAATGACTAGAAAAGGAAACTTTCTCGGATGTTGGAAATGTTCACTACCTCGATCTGGGTAATAATTAATTGAGTATATACACTTGTTATAGGCATCAAGCTGTACACTTAGCTGGGAATTTTACTGTATGTATATAACACCTCAATAAAACATTGCCAGCATTTTAAAAGTTCCTTTCAAATTGTTCTCTGAGATTAATCTCTAAAATTACTAAAAGTAAAACTTGGGGAAATAAAACTATAAACTGTACCTAATTTAAACTAAATTCAAAACAAAACAGAATTTATTTCATAATTCAAGTCCCTAAAAGCAGCACAGGTGAAAAAATTTTAATTTGCACAACATCTTATTAGGACCAAGTTCCTTTTTCCTCCAATGGAAATTCTAACTGCAATCTGAATGCTCCATCAAATCAAAGAGGTCTAAAGCCTAATCCACAATTTCCCTCAAAATCAGATATACTGGAGAAGGTATCTGCAAGTAGAAAAGTAGCATAAAATAAAATGATAGCAATTTTCAACATTATTATGATTTTTCTAGGCTTCAAAACTTATATATGATTTTCAGCTTTTCTTAAGGCAGCCATCAAGCCATTTATCCAAACAGAATTTTATATTGAATAAATAAAAGCAGAACTCCAAGGAATACCAGGGAACAGAACATAAAATGCCAATGCCTCACCCACTTCACTTTCCCTATCCTCAAAATCTTTTCCAGATTAAAAAAAAAAAATACTGTGTTTTTAATATTCTATTATTGAAACTATGAAAAGGGCATACTGGAGTCAAATATTTTTGAAATAGTAGGTTCAACAAAGTAAACAGATTTTATTGTAGCACTACTTCAATATACCTTTAATATTCTAATATTTAATACATTGTACTTGCAAGAAGAGGCTTGGAAGTGTTCTTAAAGCATTTTGGCACACAAATCTCTTATCAAGAATAAACAGTAGGGCTTCCCTGGTGGCGCAGTGGTTGAGAGTCCGCCTGCCGATGCAGGGGACACGGGTTCGTGCCCTGGTCCGGGAAGATGCTGTGGAGCGGCTGGGCTCGTGAGCCGTGGCCACTGAGCCTGTGCATCCGGAGCCTGTGCTCCGCAACAGGAGAGGCCACAGCAGTGAGAGGCCCGCGTACCACACACACACACACAAAAACAGTAGTGGCTTCCCTGATGGCGCAGTGGCTAAGAATCCACCTGCCAATGCAAGGGACACTGATTTGAGCCCTGGTCTGGGAAGATCCCACATGCCGCGGAGCAACTAAGCCCATACGCCACAACTACTGAGCGTGTGCTCTAGAGCCCGCGAGCCACAACTACTGAAGCCCGCGCCTAGAGCCTGTGCTCCACAACAAGAGAAGCCACCGCATTGAGAAGGCTGTGCACCTCAACAAAGAGTAGCCCTTGCTCGCCGCAACTAGAGAAAGCCCACACGCAGCAACTAAGACCCAACGCAGCCAAAAATAAATAAATAGATTTATTTTTAAAAAAGGATAAACATTAACAATAACATCATACTCAACAGTGAAAAGCTGAAAGCTTTTCCTAGAAAATCAGGAGCAAGACAAGGATGGCTACTCTCATCACTTCTATTGACACAGTACTGGAAGTTCCAGCCTCAGCAATCAGACAAGAAAAAGAAATAAAAGGCATCCAAATTGGAAGGGAAGAAGTACAACTATCACTATTTGCAGATGACACAATACCATATCAAGAAAGAAACTAAAGTCTCCACAAAAAACTGTTAGAGCTAATAAATGAATTCAGCAAAGTTGCAGGATACAAGATTAATATACAGAAATCTGTTGCATTTCTATACACTAATAATTAACTAACAGAAAGCAGAAGTAAAAAAACAATCCCATCAAGAATGAAATATCTAAGAGTAAACTTAACTAAGGAGGTGAAAGAAGCATTGGAAGAATTAATATTGTTAAAATGTCTATACTACCCAAAGCAATCTACAGATTTCATGCAATCTCTACCAAAATACCCATGGCATTTTTCAAAAAACTGGACAAGTAATCCCAACATTTGTATGGAACCACAAAAGACCCCTCCAAAACAAAAGCAATCTTGAGAAAAAAGACCAAAGCTGGAGGAATCATGCTCCCTGACTTCAGACTATGCTACAAAGCTACAGTAATCAAAACAGCATGGTACTTGCATAAACACACACACATAGATCAATGGAACAGAAAAGAGAGCACAGAAATAAACCCACAGCACTTATGTTCAAATAATCTATGAAAAGTAGGCAAAACATACAATGAAGAAAAGAGTCTCTTCAAAAAACTGTATAGCTACATATAAAAGAATGAAACTAGCACATTTTCTCACACCATAAACAAAAATAAACTCAAAATGAATTAAAGACCTAAACTAAGACCTGAAACCATAAAACTCCTACAAGAAACTACAGGCAATATATTCTTTGACACTGATCCTAGCAGTATTTTTTAGATCTGTCTCCTCAGGCAAGGGAAACAAAAGCAAAAAAAATAAACAAATGTAACCTAGTCAGACATAAATGTTTTGTACAGTAAGGAAACCATCAATAAAATGAGAAGGCAACCTACTGAATGGGAAAAAATATTTGCAAACTCTATGTCTGATAAGGGGTTAATATCCAAAATATTATAAACAGCTCATACAACTCAATATCAAAAACCCTAAACAACTGATTAAAAAACTGGCAGACCTGAATAGACATTTTTCCAAAGAACATCTATACACGGCCAACAGGCACATGAAAAGATGCTCAATATCACCATCCAGAGAAATACAAATCAAAACCACAGTGAGATATCACTTCACACCTGTCAGAATGGCTATCATCAAAAAGTCTACAAATAACAAACGTTGGCAATGATGTGGAGAAAAGGGAACCCTAGTATGCTGTTGGTGGGAATGGTGGGAAAACAGTATGAAGGTTCCTTAAAAGAACTAAAAATAGAACTACCATATGATCCAGCAATTCCACTCCTGGGTATATATCCAAAGAAAACAAAAATAATAATTTGAAAAGATACTTGTATCCCAATGTTCACAGCAGCATTATTTACAATAGCCAAGATATGGAAACAACCTAAGTGTCCATCAACAGATGAATGGGTAAAGATGAATGGTTAAAGAAAAATACAAAATGGAATATTATTCGTCATAAATAAGAATGAAATTCTGCCATTTGAAACGTGCATGAACCTAGAGATTAGGCTTAGTGAAATAAGTCAGACAGAGAAATACAAATACTGTATGTTATCACTTATATGTGGAATCTAAAAAATAAAACAGATGAATAACAAAACAGACTCAGATATAGGAAAAAACCTAGTGGTTAGTGGGGAGAAGTAGGGGCAAGGTAGGGGTAGAGGATTAAGAGATATAAACTGCTATGTATAAAATAAATAAGCAATAAAGAGATATTGTACAGCACAGATAATGACTTTATAAAAATACAGTCATTATTTTTTAATAACTTTAAATGGAGTATAAGCTATAAAAATTGTGAATCACTATGTTGTACACCTGAAACTAATATAATATTAGAAATCAACTATACTTCAATAAAAAGTTTCTTTTTCTTTAATGAAAAAAAGAATAATCAGTAACATCACGTCAATCCCCATGACAGTTTAAGATATGGCACTTTAAAAGTATACTTGATACTCTTCACTGCCCCATTGCTCCTCATTTTAGACACTAGTATTTTTCATTATGTCTATGGTCACACCAACCCAGCTTAGGTCTTCACAGCTCCAAATTCCCCACTGCCTATTTAAATCCTGCACTGATTTCTTTCTTTCTTTTTTATTGCGGTACGCAGGCCTCTCACTGTTGTGGCCTCTCCCGTTGCGGAGCACAGGCTCCGGATGCGCAGGCTCAGCGGCCATGGCTCACGGGCCCAGCTTCTCCAGCAGCATGCAGGATCTTCCCAGACTGGGGCACGAACCCATGTCCCCTGCATCGGCAGGCGGACTCTCAACCACTGCGCCACCAGGGAAGCCCCTATTTCTTTTATAAAGAAAGTAACAATAACAAAAATTCACAACACACAATAGACAACTTAAGCGAGAAAGTACTACAAAATGTTATTTACTTTTGTGGATGATCAACTTTTCCAGTTTTCTTTTAGCAGCTGCTCTTTCCACAATTTTCTGATCAATAGTATTTGCTGTAACAAGACGATATACAACAACTGGCTTTGTCTGACCAATTCTATGACATCTATCCTGGGCCTGAAGATCAGACTGGGGGTTCTTAAAGTTAAAAAGAAAAATAACATTTAACAGCTTAAGGTTAAAATTATTTAAACTCATACTATGTGGGTAAAGTCAATAAGCATGATTCAATCAGAATCTTTGTTTAAAAAGATTCTGATTAAAATTGAGTTAAGGTACTGTTTAAGTGCCTTAACTCAATTTAGACTGCTAGAGTGACTTCAATGATAAAGTAGGTTCAAGTCTTTACATACTGGACACTTGACAAAGAAATGATTTTCATCTTAAAGTGGATACCTTTTCAAAACAGAAAAATGAAATTACAAAGTGTACAATGAAAGATTAAAAGTTCAGAATGGAAATATAATCAGTATATTGCTACACTTCCAACTTACCCAATCACTATCATAAATGATAACAGTATCTGCTGCAGTCAAATTAATGCCCAGACCACCAGCTCGTGTACTCACTAAAAAGATAAACACATCTGGATCTGTGTTGAAGCTGTGCATCTAAAAGCAAAAGGGATGTAAACATAAGGAATTAAGAAAGAAAGAAACTGTTCCTGCCTGGAATGTGGATATAGAGCTGCATATTAAGCAGCTATCTTATAACCGTTTGTTTACCAGCAAAGGAAAGGGGAGGGCAGTGGTGTCCCAAGGGATATAAGCCAGCATTCTTCAAGCTGGGTGTGAGTTCTTAAGCATCCGCAGGACTTTTTTTTTTTTTTTTTTGGGTACCGGGGCCCTCTCCCTTTTGTGGCCTCTCCCGTTGCAGAGCACAGGCTCCGGACGCGCAGGCTCAGCGGCCATGGCTCACGGGCCCAGCCGCTCCGCGGCATGTGGGATCTTCCCGGACCGGGGCACGAACCCGTGTCCCCTGCATCGGCAGGCAGACTCTCAACCACTGCGCCACCAGGGAAGCCCCCATCCACAGGACTTTTGATGTGGGATAAATAAATACTGAAAGCCACAGCAGACATAAAGTTGAAAATGACCAATTTGGTGGAAAGAGATAAAATTATCAGACTCAACTCCCATGAAACAAAAAAATCATGATCATGCCTATTGCCCAAGTTGTGGCAATAAACCAGAGGCCCTAGGATGTAGGTCCCTTTCTTTTTTTGGGCCGTGCCATGCGCGATGCGGGACCTTAGTTCCCCAATTGAACCTGTGCCCCCTGCAGTGGAAGTGCAGAGTCTTTAACAACTGGACCGCCAGGGAAGTCCCTAGGTCAATTTTGAACATTACTTCAGAAATCAAGACAGGAGTTACAAAAAAGAATTAAGTATGTATGACATAAGCAGTCTTACATTTTTTTCTCTCTCTGAATAAGACATGGATCCATCAAGCCTGCTAAAGTTGAAATTTCTAAAGTGACAGTAATCTATCAAAATGTCCAACATTCTTGTCATTTGTGAAAAAAGCAGCACCTGAAATTTAAATATATCTTAGTATCTATACTGATTAATGAAGAATAATTAAACAACCAAAAATCCAATCAAAAGTACCATACCTTATGACCTCTGGTTTTTAGTTCTGGCAGCATTCGATCCAAAATTAAGAATTTCCCAGAATTTGTTACCAACTCTTCATCAATCTTAAAAGTGGGGAAAGAAAGGAAAAAAGAAATTGTCACAACAACTACTAATAATCTGTTTTTGTTAAAATAAAAAACATGTTAACAGTTTAATTTTCAATGACAAATAAGTCCCTATAAAACTTTTTAAATTGACCTTGTTATTTGATCTTTTTTATCAGAAGATAAAAAAGGAAAAGGAAAGACATACTCAAGGAAAGACATACTCTACAATTTAAAACCAATGATTTCACAAAAAACAAAATTCAGTTTAAGTGTATAATCTATCCTCCCCACACCTCTCCCCAAAACTTTGTATAACAGAACATTAAGTTCAAACTTACTTAATGTTGAGGTTTATTCTTTATAACTGAGTACACTTTCAACCAAATGCGTATGAAAATTACTGCTAAAACTCTCAGTAGAAATTAAAGAAAGTATAAGAGCTTATAAGCAACCTAAGTATCCAAAATGAAATTTTTAACCTTCTGGTGAATATTAATTACCTTCAGAGATTATCTTCTTCCTTACTCAATGAAAAGCTTTAATAAAACAGTGGTTCTCAAATAGGGGCAGTTTTGCCTTCCACCCCCAGCGTATATTTGGCAGTGCCTGCAAGATACTTTACACGTTGACACAACTGGGGGAGGGAAATATTTTGGCATCTAGTGGCTACAGGCTAGACATGCTGGACAAATGGCCTACAGTCCACAAGACAGCACTTCCTTAACAAAGAATTATCTGGCCCAAAATGTCAATATTGACAAGGGTAAGGAACCCTGCTGTAAACTAGTACAAAACAGGGTTATTGAGGGTTACTGAGAACTGATTTCCTTTACTACTAGGTTGTTTTTCCATCAACTGCCCAAGAAAGCACTTTCATTCATTTAATCTGAAAGCCCACAAATCAACATAACTTTTTGCTCTCTTCTGTGGCTATCTGTTGAGATTTAAACAATGAGCAGCCTGACTGATTTTGACAAGCTGAATACTAATTAAAAGGAATACTGAAAAGGTGACAACAATCTCCAAAATAGACAGCAACTAAAACACAGAGTGGAAATCAACTGTGTTACTTAAAAACTTATATTTCCAATATCACTCGAAATTTAGGATTCCTAGCTGTTTACATAAAATATATAAATAAAAATATTAGTTAGCTTACATATAGAAAACCACCTTTATTCTAACATTCATAAAGTTCTCTGAATTTGGGGGGAGAAGACAATCTTCATATAACAGTATTTACTGTAAGTAATAATAAAAAAAAATGACACTTTCACCCAACATAAAGTTACAGACATCAAAACAGTATATTATTAAATAGTATTCACCTTAAACTCTTGTGTGACCGGGTCTATAGGGTACTCAATCAAATATGGATGATTACAGCACTTACGAAGTAGCATCATTATATTCTGCAGCTTCAGATTGACTTCAGATTCTATAGGGATATTTGTTTCCACAACAGCTCTGCACAAAATACAGAATCCATGAATGAGACATTAAAAAAAAAAAAAAAAAAAAAAAGAAAAGAAAAAAATCGCAGTTTAAAGAATACTTAAATTTATTTTTAAACTCACACCTTTCTCGGTCTACCTCTGGCTGTATTTGGCTGATCAGTTTTTCCAATTCATTAGGGAAATCATCTATTTTGCTGTAATCTATTGACTTTCTAGTTCGCCGTTTTGGTCGTCCAGTGGGACTCAGCTCAACTGTTTCTTTCTAAAACAATAAATTAAAGAAATATCTTTTTAAAAAGCTATATATATACTCTTAGTTATTTGTAGTGAGGTGGATGGACCTAGAGTCTGTCACACAGAGTAAGGTAAGTCAGAAAGAGAAAAACAAATACCATATGCTAACGCACATATATATGGAATCTAAAAAAAAAAAAAGGTTCTGATGAACCTAGGGGCAGGACAGGAATAAAGACGCAGACATAGAGAATGGACTTCAGGACACGGGGAGGGGGAAGGGTAAGCTGGGACGAAGTGAGAGAGTAGCATTGACATATATACACTACCAAATGCAGTGGGAAGCAGCTGCATAGCACAGGGAGATCAGCTTGGTGCTCTGTGACCACCTAAAGGGGTGGGATAGGGAGGGTGGGAGGGAGACGCAAGAGGGAGGGGATATGGGGATATATGTATACGTATAGCTGATTCACTTTGTTATACAGCAGAAACTAACACACCATTGTAAAGCAATTATACTCCAATAAAGATGTTAAAAATCTTAAAAAAAAAGCTATACTCTTAAATTCTATACACACACACACACAAAGTAGGGTATATAATATTTTTATGTACAAAATGTTTTAACATATAAAGAAAAAAATAATTTTGTCTGTCATCATCAAGTTTAATAATTTCCAAAGGCACAAAATCAAGGATCCATAAACTATAGCCAAATGTAAATTTTATCCTGGGAAATTTAATTGTTTTAACACTGATGACAATATCTGGAATCAGAGTTAATGCATTCATATCAGTGGAAAAAATCAAGGATGGATAAAACTTCTGAACTTATATAAAGGAATTTAATAGCTTTGGGCTGAAATGAAGCTCCACATATCTGCACTACAGAGGTTAATTCTTTGGATTGGTATAATACTGCAATGAAATTCCTTCCAATAGGCAACTACTTTAATTTTCTAACAGTTAAAAAGCCAGAGATTCCCTTTAATTAAAATGAAAATGGGGGCTTCCCTGGTGGTGCAGTGGTTGAGAGTCCGCCTGCTGATGCAGGGGACACGGGTTCATGCCCCGGTCGGGGAAAGATCCCACATGCCGCGGAGCGGCTGGGCCCGTGAGCCATGGCCGCTGAGCCTGCGCGTCCGGAGCTTGTGCTCCGCAACGGGAGAGGCCACAACAGTAGAGGACCGCGTACCGCAAAACAAAACAAAAAAAAGAAAATGGGATAACAGTCTAATGGTTGTACAAAAACAGAAATGCGTAATCATAAATACTTTGAAAAGAAATACACAGGTCCATGGCAAACAGTCAAAAATCTGGACATCTGAACAAAATTTAAGGGTCTTCTAATCTTTAGTTATAAGATAATCACATTCCAATTCAATTTCTTGTAATATAGTGGGGTAACTAAAAAAGATATTTCTTTCAAATAGAGGATTTTATTAAATTTTTTGGCTACCAACAACCTGCTGTAAAGGGATTGTACATTTGGGGTGACTGGTCTAGTTGGCAAGCCCTTAGTATATTGTGTGCTTGTTCAAATGTATTTCCAAATCCATCCCCAGACAGTATTTCAGATGACTATAAAGCAATCAATGCAGGAACCATCACTTGAATTTTAGTAGGACCACAGAATCACTAGGAGACAATTTTTGCTACTGGCCTTATGCCTTATACTCCAGTTAGAAATTCACCCTCAACAAGTCATGAAAACAGGTGATGATCCTTATATAAGACTGAAATCAACCATGAAATTTTCTATGCCAACTGTCATTTACAGGTAGGTTATTTCAAATCCACACTCTACCTCGCTGGATCCAAACATGTTTGCAATTGTACGGTTCACAATGGCTGTGTAAAAGATCTCTTGTTTCTTTGAAAGTGGTGCATAAACAACTACTTCTCGTTTAGGAGGAACTTCAAGGGCAACATCAGATTTTAGTCTTCTCAATAAGAAAGGTGTTAAAATCTAAAATTTAAACATGAATAAACATATATAAATATTAAACATTTTTGTATTTTCAAGGAATACTCTCCCCAAATACCCTTTTACCCCTTCTTCCTCTTTTCTTCCTATATAAAACTATCACATCTCAAAAGGTGATATAAAATATTTCCTTGAAATTTTCCAGACCAAAAACCACCACATGACAAACTCATAGCGTTTATCTGTAACATTTCACAACTTATTAATTTTTCAAAAATTCTAGTATAACTTGAATATTTTAAAAAGCTGAAATAAGAAGGTGATATCTGTACTTCTTAGGGATAAAGTTATAGCCCACAGTTTTTAAAAGTGAGGTTTCGAATTAGTAGAAAACCAAAAAATCAACTGATCCAGAAAAGTAGGCATGAAAAGTTTCCTTCTATAAGTTCTAAAACTTCAGACTTAAAACCACTCTCCTTCATCAGCTATGATGACAAGAGATTTCCACATTTATAAAACAACAGAGAAGCAATAGATAATTATATCATTATTAAACTACTTAGGTTTTTTTAAAAAAATCAACTTAAAAAAATCATTTTATATCCTTTATAGCCTTACCTTTAAATTAGTAGTTAATTTACATATAGATTAGGGCTCTGTACTTAAATACCTCAAAGGTATAGAGCCAAGCATAGAGAGACTTTAATTTTCCAGAGAAAGAGAGAACATTACCAGTAGTTTAAGAAAAAAGTATCTGTAGACAGCGGCCCAGACACAAATATACCTACAGGCAAGTATCAGAAAAAACGTGCAAATGATTTGGGGAAGTATGATTTGGAGTATTATTTTTACTTTGATTTACGTACTGTCTCACTTCAAAGTCAAAAAAACTTTTTCAAAAAGATTTTGAATAAAATTGTCAAAGCACAATTGAGAAGCTTTTCAGGCCCACATATGAAAACTAGGAGACCTTTGAAAGATTAAATAGATAGGATAGGGCTTCCCTGGTGGTGCAGTGGTTGAGAGTCTGCCTGCCGATGCAGGGGACACGGGTTCGTGCCCCGGTCCGGGAGGATCCCACATGCCGTGGAGTGGCTGGGCCCGTGAGCCATGGCCGCTGAGCCTGCGCGTCCGGAGCCTGTGCTCCGCAAAGGGAGAGGCCACAACAATGAGAGGCCCACGTACAGAAAAAAAAAAAGGATAAATGGAGTTTGTACAAAACAGTAGAATGGATCATACAAGTAAGTAAATTATGCAACTATTATTGGCAAACACTGCATAAAAATTTTCATTTTTGGCTGACAAACATGTCAGTAACCATTAGGGGTAAAATGAGTATACGTGAAAAGGACAAAATTTTAAAAAGCACTTTACTTCTGCTGTAACACCATGAGACCTCTAGGGGAGGGAAAAGGGCAGGAGAGTAAGTTAAATTTGGGGGTGGGGGGCTCACTTTTCAAATTCTACCACAATGGGTTGAACAGGTAATTTCTAGGGTTCCTTTTTCATTCTATGAGTCTAGTAAGCAGAATAAGAAAAAAGTCAAAACCTGGTGCAGCATATGCAATACATTCTGTTCTCTTTCTTTAGCAATAATATCTTCAGCGGTTTCAGAAAGACTAGTGATATCAAACCAAGATTCAAAGCTGTAAAATAAAAAAATTATTACAAGTTAACCTAACACATAAATCAGTTATATTAACATGATATATGTTTTGCATTTTCAACTTTGTATTAATCTGTGTATGAAGCAGATATTTTCTTAAAGGGAACATTTTTCTGATTTATAAATATATTATCTTTTTTTTTTTAACATTTTTATCAGAGTATAATTGCTTTACAATGGTGTGTTAGCTTCTGCTTTATAACAAAGTGAATCAGCTATACATATACATATATCCGCATATCCCCTCCCCTCTTGCGTCTCCCTCCCACCCTCCCTATCCCGCCCCTCTGGGTGGTCACAAAGCACTGAGCTGATCTTCCTGTGCTATGCGGATGCTTCCCACTAGCTATCTATTTTACATCTGGTAGTGTATATATGTCCATGCCACTCTCTCACTTCGTTCCAGCTTACCCTTCCCACTCCCCATGCCCTCAAGTCCATTCTCTACATCTGCATCTTTATTCCTGTCCTGCCCCTAGGTTCTTCAGAACCATTTCTTTTTTTAGATTCCAATAAATATATTATCTTAACAATAGTATGAACATCAAATAAACATTAAAGTACCCCCCCCCTTTTTTTTTTTGCGGTACGCGGGCCGTTGCGGAGCACAGGCTCTGGACGCGCAGGCTCAGTGGCCATGGCTCACGGTCCCAGCCGCTCCACGGCATGTGGGATCTTCCCGGACCGGGGCAAGAACCCGTGTCCCCTGCATTGGCAGGTGGACTTTCAACCACTGCGCCACCAGGGAAGCCCCCCTTTTTCCTCTTTTTAAAGGCAGACTTCATTAGGATATGTCTGGAGTCTTGGAAGCGTGACTATCCCATGTTCTCCTACAAATGGACCTTGAGATGGGTCCTCCTCTATTGGGGAATGTTATCCTCTACGACGAAGCACGTAGCTTCAGGAGGAATGCACATGTCCCATGGGAGGAAGGGGACACTGGCCTAGCCAGTCAGGTCAGCCAGATCAACCCTAGCGATCAGTGGGGTGACAGATGTGACAGCCAGACTGCCCCCACATCCTAAGGTACACATTTTATGAAACATTTTAATAAAGTTAAAGAAATGAAAACTATCTCTGAATATCAAGGCCACATGATCTCTCTCTTTAGGTAAAAATGTGACCCACTACAGTGTTTTTAAAATTCAACATATATGTACCCTGATAATGATATCTATTAATATCCTTAGTTCTTCACAATATTAAAAAAAAAAACCCTATTAACATGAGCTATTAAATATAAGCATGTCTACTCTAAGTAACGCTATATTGTCAGTAAATACAATTGGGAAAAATGCCAACAACATTAATGCAGTAGTTATATCAGATATTTCCAAAATTTCATCACCTCAGGCACATTTTATAAATTCAGATTCCCAGCTCCTCCCTCAGTGTTCTAACTCAGTGGAAATGCATAGGACCTGGAAATCTTGCCTTTTAATAAATGTTCCCTAAGACAGCTGGCCTTGGGCTAATATCTGGTCACCAGAGGTGGAATACATTCTCAAAATAAAACATTAAAAGTTATTCTCCCATATAAAATTAATTTTCTTCCTTCACTGATGCCAAAGTAAGCGTAAATCAATTATTTTGCCCTCCTGATTTTGAAACTTCTATGTTAATTATTTTTAATGTCTGGTAAGATTATTTACTCTTCCATTCTGAGTATACTAATGATTTTCTGAAAACTATGTTTATTTTTGCTTTTTATGATATAAGCTAAGATTCAAACAGTTTCTAGAGTAAAAAGCATGAGGGTGAAACTGGGAGACCCTGGTTATATTTTTGACTCTGGCATTAACTAGTTATATTTTTAATAACTTGACATTGGGTTTTCTTATGTGTGAGACAGGGGATGTATCAACCCCTATCCCTTCAACCTCTCTATCTCTTGTTTGTGAGAAAAATCCACCTGAAAGTGTTTCACAAAGCTAAGACAATAAGGAGCTTTATAAAAATATGTTAAGGCAGGGAATTCCCTGGCAGACCAGTGGTTAAGACATTTGGGGCTTTCACTGCTGTGGGCCCAGGTTCGATCCCTGGTTGGGGAGTTAAGATCCCACAAGCCGCGCAGTGTGGCCAAAAAAAAAAAAAAAAAAAAAAAAATTTTTTTAAGGCAGCATAAAACAGTTCGTCTCTAATTAATCAATGCAATAAAAACTTTAAAATAATCTTTTATTTATCTCCTGTCATAATTTGTGTCAAAAGTAGAACATAAAAAAAAAAAAGTAGAACATACTTTTGGGGGAAGGGCAATTGGAGGAAGGTGGTTAAAATGTACAAACTTCCGGTTATAAAGTAAATAAACACTAAGTATGTAATGTATAACATGGTGACTACACTTAACACAGCTCTATGATATATAGGAAAGTTGTTAAGAGTAGATCCTAAGAGTTCTCATCACAAGGAGTAAAACTTTTTCTTTTCATTTTATCTATTTGAGATGATGGATGTTAACTAAACCTATTGTGGTGATCACTTCACAATACATATAAATCAAACCGTCATACTGTACATCTTAAACTTATACAGTGATATGTCAATTATTTCTCAATAAAACTGGAAAAAATAAAATAAAAAGAGCAGAACATATATACCACGAAGAACTGGCCAAAAGCTATCACTTTAATCCAGCTACCTAGAAGATAGAAATTAATTTAAACTATGAGCACAGATTTTGAGACAGTTAGAAAAACATAGGAAATAATTAACCGCTTACCTACCTTTTCAAGTCATCAAATACATCTGGCAACAAAAAGTTCAGCAATGACCAAAGCTCTGATAAGTTGTTTTGCAAAGGAGTACCAGTCAAAAGAAGCTTGTTATCTGCATTGAATCGTTTTAACTCCCTGATTAGGCGGCACTTCATGTTCTTAATCCTGTGTCCTTCATCTACTATTAAGTATTTCCAGTAGCAATTCTAGAAAAGGAATTCAGGGGAAACTTTTTATATGATGATCTCACAATTTTTCCTAAAAGCAATTTTAAAGATAAAACCTCTTTATTATGAACGAATGTTCGATTTTATCAAATGGTATTCCTATACCTATTGAGATGATCATGTTTTCCTTTGATCTACTAAGAGAATGAATTAATTTCCTAAAACTGATATATACTTGTGTTGCTGTAACAGACCTCACTTGGTCCTGAACTAATAAAGTCCACCTGCTGTTATATATTTAAGATTTCTCCATTCACATTCTTTAGTCAAAGCAGTCTGTACTTTTCCTTTCTAATGCTTTGTTGAGTTTTAATTAGTGTTATCTTGCAGTCCTAAAAAAAGAACTGAAGGACTTTATTAATTCTATATGCTCTGAAACATTAAATATCGTTAGAATTTTCATTCTTGAAGCCCACATCTGAGATTGACACTTTTTATTATCTGATGGTATTCTCAACTTCTTACATAGTTATTGGTTTGTTTAGGTTTTTCCTTTCTTCTGGAGCTAATTTTGGTAATGTGTATCTTCACAGAAAGCTAACCATTTACTTTCATTAAGTTGTCATGAAAATTGTTTTAATTTCTCATCTTTGATATCTGTGCTCTTTTATCTTGATTAAGCAAACTTAAAGTTCCTCTGTTTTACTGTGTAAAAATACAGAAATATGCAATATTTCTGGGAAATATAAGTACCAAACTGGCAACTGTAGGTATCCTTGGATAATGGGATTGGCAAATTGGGGGAAGAGTATGAAATGGGACATCTTTTGCATTTTACTTTATACATTCATAGCTTAAAATAATATTATGACTTCTTTAATAAAAAACTTGGAACTTTTTTCTGATAATAAGGCAAACAAATCAGATAGCCTGAATAATCTCTCACTATATCTACCTTAAAAAAATGAAACAAAATATACAACATCCTTCATAAATGAATAAGCAAAAAAGAAAACCCAGTGCAACAGAAATGATGAGAAATCTGATAAATGAATTAGTAAATGGACTCATTTACTTCTGCTGCCACTCAGGAATAGGAGTCCTGTACCCCCAATGCCATCAACCCCTAAAGCTAGGATCCTTGATATAATAATAAAAATTCAGTGAAAGGGAAAATTACAAAAATTCTAGCCACTGGCAAATGGAATTGACAAGGAAGCTTATTGTTTCAATATGGTCTGGCTATGGTAATCAAAATAATTAGAAGATCTTCATGTTATATTATTTAGTAGAAAACAGGTGTTTCAATAAGCAACGTAAAGTATTACCACATTTATAAATTATACCTATATGCTAACAATAGTTATATAACACAGCAGTAGTAATTCTCAGGTAGAATTACAAGTGCTTTCAGGTCTTTCTGTACACTACTTTTTCCTACATGCAATATGTATTACTTTTACTGTGAAGACATAACTGCAAACCACATTCCAAAGTTCTACCAGCACACAAGTAAAATCTTACATACAGCTGAATCTTGAGCAACACAAGTTTGAAATGCACGGGTCCACTCATATGCAGATTTTTTTCAATAATAAATACCACGTATAGTACTACATGATTCATGAGTGGTTGAATCCATATCCGGAACTGCGGATATGGAGGGCCCACTATAAAATATATGCAAACTTTCTACTGCACATAGGGTTGGCGCCCCTAACCCCCATGTTGTTCAAGGGTCAACTGTCCTGGTCAGAGTAAAACAAAGCAGTAAAGAACTGTATGTGAAATACGTGGAGCAGTGAGGAAGAAGTTCAAAACACCAAAAAATGGGGCTTCCCTGGTGGCGCAGTGGTTGAGAGTCTGCCTGCTGATGCAGGGGACACGGGTTCGTGCCCCGGTCCGGGAAGATCCCACAGGCCGCGGAGCGGCTTGGCCTGTGAGCCATGGCTGCTGAGCTTGCATGTCCGGAGCCTGTGCTCCGTAACGGGAGAGGCCACAACAGTGAGAGGCCCGCGTACCGAAGAAAAAAAAAAAAACCACCAAAAACTGAACTGAGAGAGGCAATGAGAAGTCCATTTTCCAACTGCATTACAATAACTTGGGCACTAATAAATAAGTAGCTACAACACAAAGAAAAACAGATATGGGAATGTTATGCCATAGTAGGTCCATAAGATAGTAAAAAACAACTTGTCTTCATATATTCCACTATTTAATTAAAATTAAATGGATAAGTTCTATATACTTAAAGCACTTGTCAGAGACATCTGTGATACATTCACAGATTAGGTCTATGTCTGGCTGATTTTAAAATGGTGTTGTGGAGGGAATTCCCTGGTGGTACAATGGTTAGGACTCTGCGCTTCCACTGCAGGGGGCACGGGTTTGCTCCCTGGCTGGGAAACCAAGATCCTGCATGCTGTGCGGTGCAGCCAAAAAAATTAAATTAAAAAAAGAAAACAAGGAAAAAAATTTTAATTTTAAAATTAAAAAATAAATGAATAAATAAAATGGTGTCGTGGCTATAGATTAAAGTACCAAAGGCTTTAATTTTCTTGTTAGAGACTACAACCTTCATCTCAATCGTTCTTTTTTTTTTTTTTTTAAATTTATTTAATTTATTTATTTTGGCTGCATTGGGTCTTCATTGCTGAGCGTGGGCTTTCTCTAGCTGTGGCAAGCAGGGGCTACTCTTCGTTGCGGTGCATGTGCTTCTCACTGTGGTGGCTTCTCTTGTTGCAGAGCACGGCTTTAGGCACACGGGCTTCAGTGGCGTACAGGTTCAGTAGTTGTGGCTCGTGGGCCCTAAAGTGGCGTACAGGTTCAGTAGTTGTCGCTCACGGGCCCTAAAGTGCAGGCTCAGTAGTTGTGGCGCACGGGCTTAGTTGCTCCACGTCATGTGGGATCTTCCCGGACCAGAGCTCGAACCCGTGTCCCCTGCACTGATAGGCAGATTCTTAACCACTGCGCCACCAGGGAAGCCCATCAATCTTTCTGTTAATATAAACCTCCAGGTTCTAAAGGAATATGCACAATGCAATCTATTACTTCCATCAGAAAAAATAAACAAACAAATGCTACTGGATGGTGACAAAGTGTTTTAAGAAAAATGTGATTTATGGATTACGAAGAATCCAATAAGACCATTCATACCTGTAATGCATTTCGGTCTCTCATGGCTATCTCAAATGAAGTGATCACCACAGGATGAATCTGCAATGTCCCTTTCCGTTTGTGAATATGCTTTACCAATTTTCGACGTTCTTGCTGGGTCCCATGATATAACATAGTAGGAATCTAAAAGATTTTATATTGATTTATAACAAACTTTAGAACAAAATGTAAATAACAACAATTTGTGAAATATAAAGTTAATCATTTCTGAAAGAAAAAATATAATTTAACTTTAGTTCTGTATTTCTATAACAAAATGAGTCAATCAATTCTAATAAATTATTGGGCTACTATGGGAGGATAAAAAAGCCATAAAAGCAAACTGAGTGTAAGGTGAGAGAGATGGCGAAGTTATTTTTGGAATATATACTTCTCATAAGGCAATGATGTGGCTAAAATGCATAAGTATGGAAGGAAAACACCATAATAAGAATGAACAGAATTAAAAATAAATTCTACCCAGGTCTATCTCAGGTGAGCCAAATTATTCAAGGCACTAAAAACCACCCAGGGATGTTTTAGGCAAGATGTCTGAGATTACTATGGAAACTTAGTTTATTCTATATAAACTTAGAGAAGGTATTGCTGAGACTGAAAGTCAAATAAGATATAGTGCTACACAGAAATCAACATAATTTTAGTAAGAGATCTATAACTTAATTCAGTCAACAAAACAATAAAACATTTGTAATGATAATATATTTAACAAAAGGAAACATGTCTTACTTCTGGTGTAAATCTTTGGAATTCAGCCATCCAGTTAGGAAGTGTAGACAAAGGGCCACAGACGAGAAAAGGTCCAGGTACTCCTCTCTGAATCATCAATGCAATTGTAGCAATGCATTGAACTGTCTTTCCCAATCCCATTTCATCTGCTAAAATGCCATTAATTCCATTTTCCCAAAGCATCTGGACAAAAATAATATACACTGTATTTAATTGCTGACATAAACACCTATTGAATCAGCAGTAAGTTTATTTCTTCTTTTAACCCAAAGATGATAATTATGATGAGACTGACATATTTACACTGTAAGTTATAATAACACTTGTGGGAACTCAGTTATCAAAGCCATAAAAATGTTGGTAGCCTTGAATAAGATAATTTTTCACTTTCAAAAATTTACTCTGGGTAAATAAGTTAGAAAAGAAGTATTTACACAGAAGTGTTTCTTTTATATATAATAGTGGAACACAGAAGGAACAACTCAAGTTGTGTTACATCATATTAATATGTTATCATATAGAAATGAACCAATATCTTGTATTAAAATTGAGGATTCATTACCCTAAGCCATTCCATGCCTTCCACTTGGTACCATCGCATCACTCCTCCTGTGAAGTGTTTTGGTTGCTGAAAGGGTACTGGCTGTCCATTACATTTCCGAACTGGGTCAAAAAAGAATTTAGTATTTTGCCTAACCGTTTGAGATAACCTATCTTTAATTTTACTATTTGAATCTTTATTTTTCTGAAGATCTTCTACACAGAGATTAGAAGAGGAGCTTTCATCCTGTAAAGAAAAAAGTTTAATTAGAAGTTTAATACATAATAATGCTGCTACCCTCCATTCAGAAAATGTAACTGCTAATCAAAATTTGCCCAGTCGTATAATCATTGGGTATGAAAAAATAAAGCTACATGTTTAATAAAACCCTCTAGACAGTTAATTCCATTCCCCCACAAATTCAAAGCCACTGGAAAAAAAAAAACAACAAACACTTCTGAAAATAACCCTTACATATAACAGGCATATACTTCTGAAATGACCTTTACAATTAAACATCCCTTCCAAACCTCTAAAATGTGCTACCCAAGAATTTATTAAACTATTTTCTTAATAATTTCCTTCATCCATAGGAAGGATAACAGATAATGTCTGTTAAAAAAATTATTTTCAAGGAACATAAAAATATTTACTTTCATCTAAGTAATTACTTTCACTACAGGCAAAGGGGCAAAGTAAATACAGTTTAAAAACTCACTATATCAAACTTAAGAATGTCAATTTATCTGTTTGTGACACAGCACCAATTTATGACCAATGGTAGATTTTTATTGGTTAGCTATGTCCACAACTCCATACCAAGAAAATGAAAACAAGGATTAAGTCAATTCAAAGGGAAGTCTTACAAATGGTAAGTCTTATAAATGATGCCACAACTGGATATTCAACTGGAAAAATAGGAAACTTGAGTTTCACCACTCCCTACATAAAATCAGTGATGAAATGATATACCTAAACATCAAACCCAGAACCATAAAGCTTTCATAAGAAAACAGAATAACTTGATAATTCTGTGACAGACAAACACTTCTTATATAAGACAAAAAAGCACTAACCACCAAAAGAAAAAAGGTAATGATTTGGGCTATTACAAAATTTTAAATTTTCTGCTTATTAAAAGATATCATTAAGAAAATGAGTAGGCAAGCCACGAACTTAAAGAAAATACAGTCTATATATGTGACAACAATGAGATTATAGAACTCGTATATCAACAAAACGACAAATAACCCAGTAACTGGGCAAAAGATATGAACAGAAACTTTACAAAAGAAAACATATAAACAGCCATTACAAACATGAAAATAAACTCTACATTAGTAATTAAGAAAATGCAAAATAAAACTACATGAGATTCATTTCACATTCAGTAGAACGGCTAAAATCAAAAAGATTAACAACATGAAATGCTGGCAATAGAGTAAAATGGTGTGTTCACTCTGGAAAAAGATCTGTACTTTCTTATAAAGTTGAATTACATTTACCATATGACCCAGCAATTCCATTCCTAGGTATATACAGAAAAAATATCAAAACATGTCCACACAAAGATCTTTACACAAATTATCATAGCAGCCTCATTCAGAATAGTCACAAAGTGGAAACAATCCAAATGCTCATGAAGAAAATGGATTAAGACATTATAATATTCAATGGAATACTACTCAGCAATAAAAAGAAACCGACTAGTAACAAACTCAACAACATCAATGATTATTATCCACGCTGAATGAAAAGTAGCAGGAAATAAAAGAATACATATTTATATTTCGTTTGTATGAAAACTAGATTGTAATAGAAGTTTTTTAAAAAATTGGGCAAAACTACTATGATAGAAGTCAAGAGGCAGTTGCCTTTAGGTTTGGGGTGGGGAAATGACTGGAAAGGGATACAAGGGATCCTTCTACCATAATGAAAAGGTTCTAAATCTTGATTTGGATAATAGTTACACAGATGTATACATTTGTCAGAATTCTTCCGAATGAACACAAGATCAATGTTGCTTTATTGTATATTATAAAATGTCAATTCCATAGTAAATTGTGGTAGAAGATTAGATTGGGCTTTATCTTTAAAAATGCAACTAAATATTTATTAAAAATATGCTTACTTAATCTTATTTACATTAAACATAGTTGGGTTATAACTGCATCATAAACAAATCCTTATACTGAACAAAGAATAAATCTTGTAATTATAGGGGTTTGGATAGTAATACTCAGGTAACAAGGAACCTCTCTACATAAAATGAGGGGTTAGGGGTGGGAGTAAAATCAAGCCTTCCCAAACAGAACCAAAGAAAATCTTGAAGGCCAGAAATAAAATTAAAGTATCCCTCAGGGCTTCCACAAGCTATGGAATATATACATGTGGAATGTATATATCCATATGGTTACAGTTACTTGCATCATTGCTATACTCCCAAAGACCCATAAATTAATATTTACACACTAAGGAACATGCAATAGACCACCTAAACTTGATATATAAGAAGCATGTTAGGATAAAAAAAGCCAAATGGTTATTTTTTTTAATAAAAGCTAAGAAATAGGATAACTAGTGAGAAAAAATGTACACTGGTGATTAAGAGATCAGGGAAGCAAATATGACTCCTAAATTTAATATCTATTATAAATCTCTTACCTCATTCTCCTTTTTACTTTTCTTAGCCACAGACAAAATTTCCTAAAACATTGAGAAAACAAAAACAAAATAACAATGAATGTGGTTCATTCATTTATTGAACAAACATTTATTCTTGTTCTGATTTTATGCCAGGAAATGGGGATAAGCCTTGAAGGTAATTAAATACAGGTGGACCTCAGACAAAATTAAGCCCATAGAATCTTTTTTTTTTTTTTTTTTTTTACAGTTCAGGTCTTTTATTTTCTTTACACCATCATGCCATGAATTCATAGGGAATGAAGCCGATAGCATCTTACAAAATTCTGAAATCATTAGTAGCACTTAAAAATTGGGATATTTACTCCTAAATCTTCCAGCTTTTTTTTTTTTTTTTTAGTTAAAGCTTATCTGAATAGACTAAGTCCAAATTCACGAAGTCCTCTAGTACAGAGGCTGGCAAACTACAGACCGTGGACCAACTCCAGCCAGCAACCTGTTTTTATAAATGTCTAAATAAAGTTTAATTAGAACAAAATCAGGCTCACTGGTTTACAATCTGTCTATGACTGCTTTCTGGATACAATGGCAAAGTTCAGGGTTGATTAGTTACCCACAAAGCTACTGAAAGCCAAAAATGTTTACCATCTGGCCCTTTACAAAAAAAGTTCTCCAAACCCTGCTCTAGGTTACTACCATTATTCAAGTATTCACTCCCAAATGTATTACAGTCCCAACTCCAGCCCACTTTAGTCCTCTCTCTGGATTAGAGGCCTGAGTTTGCAATCCTGAGCAGGAGGCAAAGACAAATACATTAAAAATACAGAATAAAAGTGTTCTGATTTTGAATTACCTACTAGATGCTAAGGGTAAGGAGACAATGTCCCTGGTGACTTAGGAGAGTATTATATGAAATTATCTGAAAAATTTGTCATCAAGGCATAATCATTAGAGACAGAATTAGGCTGTATTTCAAGCAGAAAGAATAGCATGTGCAGAGAACCAAGGGAATAAAATAGTATGATACATTCAAGAAATTTTAAGCATATCTCAAATTTGAGATACACAGGAAAATGACAGAACATGTAAGTGAATGACACCACATACATACATACATACATGTGTATATGTAAAGTATTATGTAAGTATAGATATTCATATTCTAAGGCCGAAGAAATTTTATAGAGAACGGATAGAAGAGCTGTCTTTTAAAATGGCTAGATAAGCTGAATCTTTTTGGAGAACTATTTGTGAATGACTCAAAAGGATACCAACTACTAAGTATTCTTTTTAGAAATTAAACCTCCTAAACTCCTGACGCTGCTTACCTCTATAGCTTCATCCTTCACCACTTATTTACAAACTGGAGCCAAATATAATTTCCTTTTAAGTTTTTTTTAACTTTCCAGGAACTTCCTGCCTCTGGACATTGGTCAAAGGTTATTTTCTCTTCCTACAACACATCCCCAGTATCTTCCCTATATCTTACTATTTCCCTATTAACCTACCCCCACCTCTAAATGATTTAACTTTTATCCAAGTCTCAACTTCCTAGATGAAACCTTTATGAACCTCATACTTGAGTTAAGAGCCCCTTTATATGCTCAATAGCATTTTCCGATTATCCAATTATATTTGACTACTTCCTTCTAAATTTTTCTCACTGGATATAGGCTAAGGCAAAGACAGTGATTATGTTACCGAGTCTAAGCTTGTACTGCTCACTGCTTGACAGGCCAATAATCAAAAGACACGAGTTGCTGGGGCAAGGAATAACAACTTTATTCGGAAAGCCAGCAAACCGAGAAGATGGTGGGCTCATGCCCCAAAGAACCATCTTGCCTGAGTTAGAATTCAGGCTCCTTTTATACTAAAAGGGGGTGGTGGTGGTGGAGTAAAGTCAAACATTTCCTGGTTCCCATCAGCCTCTGGAGGGGATGTGTTAATTTCTTCCTCCCTGCAGTCATTCATAGGTGGGCCTGGTCAGGATGTTTCCTGTGAGCTAAACAAAGGTATTTTAGCTTAATGCTCATTCCTGGGAAGCAGGGTTCCCAGAGATGGGCCATTATGTATAATTTAAGCTTATAGGCAACATCCCTTTAGTGACTAACTTATAATACAAAAGGTTCTTTCCTATTACAATTACCTTTCTTTACTAATTGATCTTATCCACTTAGAACAAAGTTTGTCCATAGCAGATATGCCACCAACATTTGATGAATTAAAATAACAGCCGTGTGATTAGCTAAACTTCAATAAATCTCATTAATAGTGTTTTCAAACTGCAGGCTGAGTGTGTTCCATAATAAAGTGAGTGGGTCTCAACTATTATTTTTAAATGGGAAAAAAGGGAAAATATCAGAGTACATCCCTAGACTAAAGACAAGTATGTGAAACTTTATACCTTATGAAGATGTAAAGAGTTAGAATCTCAGGTAAAAGAAAAATGGAGTAGGTAATTAAGGTTAGAATGTTTTTAATATTAAGAATGTGATACATTAAATTATGCTTAAGGAATATTTAGGGTTTGTCATAACTGAGGACACTCTTTAATTAGTTTCTATTTAATGAGGTAATAAGTGAGAAGGTGAAAAAAGAAATGGCTTTAGAAATGAGTTTATGATTTTAGTTCCTTAATGGTTTTCAAACAAAGAACAGAGTTCTTAAGATACAGTTTTGAGGTTCTAAGAAGTTATAATAATTTCTGATTAGGCTAAGCTCACGCTCCTTTAACAAACAGGAAGATGGTACCATTTTCCTCCTTAAAACACTTAACTGGCTGAAAACCCAGGTAAATAACAATAATCAATACAGCTTTAAGGTGGTTCAAAACCCACAATAGGTTTTACTCAACATCGAATCTTATGTGTCCCTCCCCCTTTATTTTTACCTCTTTTGACATGACCTCTGAAATACTGTATGATTCATCTTCTCTTCCTCTTTTCTTTCTCATAACTATAAAAAAAAATTTTATTTTTTATAGTAATTAAAACAAAAATATAAACACATAGTCTTCAAAACTGGAACAAGGAAATTTACCTGCATTCTCCTCACTTGCCTCAATGGAATTTTTACCCTACAAAACAAGGATTTAGAGTATTATTTTCCTAAAGACTTCTATGGTATTACATGTTAAAAGGCACTGATTAGGTTAGCTTTCCTTGCAGTTGAACCACATCCACAACTCTTCACTATTATATGCTTACCAAAAGGTAATCTTTTTCTGTATTTCCCTACTATAACTTGTTCGTAACCATATCCCTCTAGTTTTTCCCAAAGACTCTACCTTCCTCAGTTTTCTTCCATGTAAGAGACATTTCAAAACTAAACAAAGAAGGCATTTTTATTTTGAAGTTACCATGTACATCTTCTCTAACTGTATATTTATGCTGAAGATACTCATTGGGTATGATATGGAAGGAGTACTCATTTTCAGTATAATTTATAAGTTAAATACAACTGACAGTAGAAATAAAAGAGAAAACCAACTGAAAAATTACTAGTGAAAGGAGATAAGGGAAAGGAAGAAGTGTTCAAAAACAAAGTTTCAGAATGAGAGCTGGCAAAGAATAGGTAGACAACATGTATGAAAAATAAAAATGACAAAGAAATAAGGTAAATATAAAAATGAAGTTAAAAATTTAAAGGATTAAAAAAGAAAATACCAAAAGAGACTAGTGAAATGGAATAGGCAGAATTTAATGGTTGACACCTTTAGAATAAAGGGAAAAAAACCCAAAACCTGATATAAAAAGTTAGCTTGGTGAAAGTGAAGGCTGATTGAAATCGGCAGTTTGAAGAGTACCGAGTAAATGATTAAGCCAGTAAAATTATAAGTACATTCTTCAAAAACCCAAAATAAGCTCCTGGAATTCACAACTGAGTCAAACATCAGTTTTCCACAATTGCTTTTGTTGCAGAGTTATCTGCTATGTACTTTAACATCACCAATAACCACACTAAGAATCAAGTAACTGGACTTAAAGATACCCTACCTATTTTTCCTATTGGCATTTTGACATTTTCTAACAAAGGCAGTTTGGTATAGAAATTAAGTGTGGAATCCGAAATTAATCCTAGGTTCAAATCCTGGCATTACTATTTATTAGATATGTGACCTTCAAAGTTAGTCAATTCTCATTCACAATAGTTGTGTTCTATAAAGTCGCTGTGAATACTGAGCTAGTGAACACTGAATCAGTACATCTAGAAGAAATACAAGTTTAGGTTCCTGCAAGCCCCTGGTCACATCTTCATCAACTGATCAACGCATAACCCTATTTTATGTATGTTGCTGTTTAAACACAGCTCATTTAAAACATATGCTGATTAACACTGAACTCAAAGCCAACAGCATTGTAACTCACATCTGAAGGAAGCTTATCTAACACACATATTTTCTCCATAAGGAACATCACAGCCTTCTTGCAACAGAAACACTAGACAGCACTTCAGCACAATGTGGCTGACAGTCTTTTAAACAGCAAAACCACCAAAACCACAAAAATGCAAAAATCATGGCATTAAACAGACCACAAAAGGACACTTGTTTACACTGTGACAACTTAAATAAGGCAGATAGCTTTGTTTGACCTCAGCTGGGAATGTGCATGTTGGGAGACTCTTAATTTTTTGCCATTCTGCATATACACATGTCTGAACGACCACAAAAACACAGGCGACAAATTTTAGCAAATAGGCTAAGTGGCAAGTATGGGATCTATAAATAATGAGGATGAACTGTGCTTTATCTCCTTGCATCAGCTTCTTTATACATAAAATGTAGATAATAACAGTATCTCTACCTAACAGAGCTGCTTTGAGAGTTAAGTAAAAACATGTAAAGCTTAGAACAATACCCGGCACATAGTAAGTACTCAATAAACGTTACCTTTATTATTTCTCTTTTCACTAACACAAGTGTTGTTTGTACAATCCCTATCAATATGGCATTAAACAGCCTCATGTTAAAACATAGTCCCCAAAAAGATCACATCTAAAATTCAGGCTATCCCTAAATGAATGCTCTATCTGAAATGCTATTACCATGTATGTCATATGTTCCAATTTTGGTTCCACTGCTACAGCTATGTACAAGATACAAATTTAGATTATTCTTATGGCTCCAAGTTGACATGATGAGGTTAGAAGCATGAAGAAGAGTAAGCATTACATGCTCCAAAAGAGCTGGCGACTTATAAAATGCCTTGAGGTATAAAATATTTGCAGATTTTCCCCCAGATAAGAAAGTGAAATTTTGCTATTATGAAATATAGTCCACAGAATAAGAAACTAAAAAGGTCATAGTTTAGCTCTCCTCCCATATATCTAAAATACTGAGACAAAAAAACCCTAAATAAATAAATAAATAAAATACTGAGAAACAGATTTTACATATTTCTATGCAACCAACAAAGATAGGTTAGCAGATAAAGATTAAAATTAAATAGATGATCAGTAGTCAAAAGAACACAAGAGAATGTCTTCGATATCTAAGGTAACATATACAAAATATTCTAGCTTACTATTTATTACCTTAGTAACTTTTAAAGATTCCTTTTTTCTCTCCAATTTCTCTTTCTTCTTCTGTTCCTGTAAGATAATTTTTTCTTAGTGTCAAAAGTGGAAAATGCAAAGTATGAAACACACATCTCAAATAACTTAAGTTCGCAATGAAGAAACTGTATATAAAAATTAAAAAACAAGAACTTGCGCTTCAAGCCTTTATGGAGTAACAGAGAACAGATTTACCCTCCTGCCTTAAGCAACTAAAATCTAGATAAAATATATCAGTGGTTTTCAGCAACACGCAGCAAAGAACAGTGAACACTGTCACGAACCACGTGAATTTTCTGATTGCCCAGCTTACTGCCTGGAGGCAACTTCCAAGTGCAAATAATGGAGGGAGAACCCAAATAGAGCTCAACAGTCTCCCTGAGTTGAAAAGACAGAGTGCAAAACTCAGAGGAGCTAGCAAACCAAGGTCAAGTATCAGAGAGGAGACAGTTGCATACAAAAGAGGCTCTGAAGATCTGTAGTGGCATCCTCAGGCTGAGTACTGATCAGTGTGTGAGTGTAAGAAAATGAAGGCCAGGAAAAGAGCAACTAGAAAGCAGGTAGAACAATCCCTGTGCTCACAAGGGCTCAGGAACAGTTCACATTCCCGTCAGCCAAAGCTGAAGGGCCTCTTAATGTATGGGGCTTCAAGAACATTCAGAAGAGGGACCAAGTTATTCTTGGACTAAAAAAGCTGTTCCATAAGCCTCCTAACAAAGCTTTAAAAGCAGGACAGAAAACGATTCAAACCATTTCCAAGAGGTGTTTAAAAGAGTATTTACCTTACAGTGAGTCATTAAGCTTGGTATTTTGTTTTTCTGTTTCATTTTACCAAACGAAGGGTTAAAAAGGGCTTCAACAAAGGAAAAAGAGAATTTAGCAAATGTAGCGAAATCTTGATTGATAACTGTTAAATGTGAATGATGGGGACAAAAGGATTTATTGTAGTGCTGACACTTGCCCAAGTTTTTAAATCTTCATACTTCTAGTGGACTATAAATAAATTATACAGTGTCTTAGATGATAAATGCCATGCGAAGAAAAGATCAAGGTAAAGGGGATCAGGAGTGTGAGGATGGAGGTGCCAGGTAACTTTATTTAAGGTTGTCAGGGCAGGTCTCATTGAGAAAACATGTAAGCCAAAGCTTGAAGAAGACGATGAAGTAAGCCAGGCAGATATCTATTGAGAAGAGGGTTCCAAGTAGAAAGCAGCCAGTGCAAAGGCCTAAAGGCCGGAAACACACCTAGAACAAGGTCTGAAAGGTATGGGAGTTGAGGGAGGCAACCAGACTGCTTATAGTCTTGTAGGCCATCATAAGGACTTTGGCTTTGTTAGAAACAATGTAAGCTAGAAAGCAGTGAAACATCATTAAAATACTGCAAGCGGGTGGGGGGAAGCACTAAAGAAAAATAAATTCTTCACCCAGTAGAAAATCTTTCAAAAATAAAGGTAGATGAAGACTTTTTCAGATATAAAAGCTAAAAGAACCTAACACCAACAGAAAATGCAAACAAATCTATAATAACAGAAAGCAGATCAGTGGCTATCTGGTGATGAAGACAGGAAGTGAGGGATGGGAGAAAATTAAATAAAAGGGGCAGAATTCAGCTATAAAAAAAAGAATGTGATCTTGCTATTTGCGACAATATGGATGGACCTTGAGGGCATTATGCTAAGTGAAGAGAGAAAAACAAATACTATATGATTTTACTTACATGTGGAATCTTAAAAAAAAAAAAGGCTCACAGATTAGGAGACAGGCCGGTGGGTGGGGGGTGGGGGGGGGAGGGGGGAGGTCAAAAGGTATAAATTTCCTGTTATAAAATAAACAAGTCATGGATGGGGATGTACTATACAGCATGGTGACCGTAATTAATAATACTTATTGCATATTTGAAAGTTGTTAAGAGAATAAATCTTAAAAGTTCCCATCACAAGGGAAAAATTTTTTTTTAACTGTGTACAGTGACAATGTTAACTAGACTTACTGTGATCATTTTGCAATATATACAAATATTGAATCATTACACTGTACACCTGAAACTAATATAATGTTACATGTCAACTGTATCTCATTAAAAATGGGGGGACAGGAAGAATTTTTTGGAATTAATGGTTATGTTCATTACCTTGGTTGTGGTGGCTTCATGGGTATACATTTTTAAAATGTACAGTTTTGTGTATATCAGTTATATTTCAATAAAGCAATTTTTAGAAAAGGAGACTGAGCAACATAAAATTCACAATTTCTGGCATCCAAAAAATATCACTGGACAGGATAAAAATCAGTTAACAGGTGAATAAAAAAATAAATGTTGGAGTAAAGCAATTTATATTGAGGAAACTCCAACAGCTCAGGGATTGGCAGGCAGCACAGTGAGGATGAAGTTGGAACTAAAAACAGGAGTTTTGTTCTAAAGTCTGCTTAGAAGCAGTTACTCTTGAATTAAACACATCTTGAATGACAAAAGCAAACTACAGAAGAACTACATATAGTATGATACCATTCTTATAAGGCTCAAAATAAGCAAGACCAAAAATATACACTGTTTATGGATATATACATATGTGATATATGTTAAACTATTTTTTTAAGCAGAGAAATGATAAATACAAAATTCATGATGGTAATTACCTCTGTGTTAGGATGGTAAACGAGGCAAGGAGATGGGAAAGAGAAGCAGAAATGTAGGTGCAAAAATATTTAGAATGTCCTAGTTCTTAATCCTTGTTCATTTAATTAATACAGTATTCATAATTTTAAAAAAATGTTGGTATATTCATACAATGGAATGCTTCTTAGGAATAAAAATGATCTACTAAATTAATACATGTAAGTGAATCTTAAAAATATGCTGAGCTAAAGAAGCAAGACACCAAAAGAGTGCTTATCATATGATTCCATTTATATAATATTCTAGAAAAAACAATAGTAATTTATAGTGGCAGAAAACAGAAACCAGTGGTTGTCCGGGGCCAGAAGCAGAGACCACTGAGAGAAGAAAACTTCTTGGGATAATGGAAATGTTCTATATCTTGACTGTGCCGGTGGTTACACAGGTCAAAACTCATCTAACTCTTAAAATGTGTGCAATTTATTGTATATAATTTATATCTCAATAAAGCTTATTTTAAAAATTTAAGCTATTAGCTATAATCAATCACATATACATACCTCTAACTGCTGCTGTTCCATTTTAGTCAATAAAAATTTGGAGTAAATATTGCTTTTTTCAAGCAAATGCTGAAGTCTACGATATCGAATGTCCATGGACTCTCTATCCCAAGACATGCGAGCCTATCCAAAGAGAAAGTTTCCATAATTATTAACAGTTTCCTGACATACACGGATTTTTTTTGCATAAGGTGTAACAAAGATGACTAAACAACTGCTCTTTAGGTTTAATATATTTCCTGTAATTCATGAAAAATATTTTTATAATATTAAATTCACTTACTAAAAATGGTTATCTTCCAAACAAAAACCTAGAATAGCTAAAAAAAATATGATTCTGGGGTTCAACAGGCAATCCGGCAAAGTATAGCTTGGCTACCAATACTGAAATTTCAGATACTGAATATATGGTTATTGGCATCTACAGAATTGAAGGTCCATTTTCAAAATATTTGAAATTCAAGTGAGAAAGCAAATATTTAATTCAAGTTGAATTTAAGTTTTTACAAAACCAAATCATTTTAGAAAAGAAAAATTTTATACACCAGTTTAATTTGAAGGAGCAATGGAATTAAAAGATAGTCTCATTGGCTAGGAATCAGAACATCTAGTTTTAGAATTTAAAAACTATATTGTCAAAATATTTAAACGTGCTAAATCTACTGTTTATTTCTTACAAGCCTCTTTCCTCCTCAGTATTGTGTTGCCCAAGCTTTGCCCTTACCTTTTAGCTTTCTACTCTCATACTCTTACCTTTATCTTTCACCTCTGTACGCCTTCCATTTACAAACCTCTGCTTTCCATATTACTTTTACACACCATTTATTTATTGATTTGTAAGAGTACACAACAGTCTAGTGGCTGAGGAGGAACCCTCTCAATTCATAATAAAAGTTAAACATTTTAACAGAACAATAACAGAGGGCACAAGAGAGAAAACAAAAGCAACAAATAAATAGTATAGTTCAACGGTCCACAAACATTTTCTGTAAAAGGGCAAAGGGCAAATATTTAAATATTTCAGCATGATATGGTTTGTATTGCAAATACTCAAATCTGCCTTCGAGCAGTTATAGACAACATGTAAACAAAAGTTGTGTTCCACTAAAACAGACATAAGGCCAAATCCAGTTCATAATTTGCCAACCAAATACTGTAATCTGAACTCAAAAGAAAAGCATTAAGTGGGCTGAAGTCAAGTAAGAGTTGAATACATGCAAATCTTACTAACCAGCAATTCCACTCCTGAGTGTGTGTGTGTGTGAGGTAAATTTAATTTAGTGTTAAGGCTTGACCTTATAAATCAGACACCAGTATATATTAACTTATATTTCCCAGATGTTATGTCATCTAAATTTTCTTTCAAAATAAATTTATTTTCTATTACAAAAGCAGTGACAATAAGATACCTAAGAATAAATTTAATGAAATACATGTGCACTACAAGAAAATAAAAAATCTTTAAAAAATCATCCATAGTCTTACCCGTGCAGATAATCTGTTGACGTCTCATAAAACTCTATTTTCAGTTCTTTTAGGACAGCCTTTCTTTTACTATTACCAACGTACTACTATGATTACAATAGTCAGTCACTGAATGAAATGGATATTATAAATGAGATGAAATTACTTAAAACTTTATAAAAATGAATTCTTAAATTTAACTTTATTTTAGTTAAAATACTTAGTGCTTAATTTATCTGCTGCCTTAAGTCCTGTTCAGAATAAATCAGCATACATCTTTAAAGTAATTAAAGGTTTTAAGGTGCCATCATGGAACAATAATTTATAATATAATTAGAATATGCCAATGGTTAACCTTTAAACTCAGTCTTCTGTATTTCAAAATAATTCTGTAGTAAATCTTCTCATCTATCATTACTCTCTCTTGACTTAATTTTGTTATTTGTTAATATTAAAGTAAATTGTAGCTTCATCTGTGGAAAGTATTCAATACTGAGTGCCTGGCGGGAAGCATCTCTTGATGAGAGAGTGAGAGAGTATGCCAGTGGCCACCAAGAGCATAAATTCTCCACTGTCTACCCCATTACCTCTCCCAAACCCCAGTTTTATTTATTTATTTATTTTGCGGAGGGAGTTCTATTTCAGGTTACACAATATGAACTGTTTTCCTTTTTTACCTTTCCAAGAACCCTCACAACTCTTACCATTCCCCTTCCCCCACGTACACAGAAGTTAAAGCTACTCTCAAGTATTCTAGACTAACAATGACTTCTTTCAAAAGGAAATGCAGGTGAAAAGTCAAAGAAAATAACTGTAGCAAATGAATGTCAAAATCATTCTCCAGGATCTTCACAAACCTTCAAATCTCCTAAAGCAAAGTAAATGCTTCTCATTAAGAACTTAAGCTAGCTCTTCCTCTCTTAAGTACTTCTAAATATATGCCCATAAATACTGAATTCCCCCAAAAGAAAAGGAATCATTACTTTTGTGTACTGAATTTTTTGGCTCCAAAGACATGTAAGAGAGACTTATTCTTAGAATTTTCTCTACAGTCACTGAGGGAATAATTTTTAAGTGTCAAGGGCAAAAAGTAATCAAATTCTTTCAATACCTGTACATAAAAAGATACATAATAACAATGAACCACAATCCTACTAGGTTTTTAGCAAGTTACACCCTGCACTAATAGGATTGAAAAGAGCTTTATTCATGGAAGTACTGAAAAATGGATTAAAAATTGCTATTTTAAGTTCTATGATGCATAACTGCTAAAGAAAAGCTAGTTGTACCATACCTATCCCTCAAGAGTAACAATTCCAAAAAACTTTAGGATTGCAAAATGTTCAAGAGCTTAAAAATTTCACTGAAAGTAGAAGTTATTTTGACCCCAAGTTTAATCAGCAAATACTTATGGTACTATAAATTTTGACGGACCTTTTAAATTTATTTATTTAAAAATTTTTTTTTGGCCACACCGCACCGCACCGCTTGTGGGATCTTAGTTCCCCGACCAGGGAAAGAACCTGGGCCCACAGCAGTGAAAGCCTGGAGTCCTAACCACTGGACCACCAGGGAATTCCCTGATAGACCTTTTTTAAATGTGAAAATAATCTTTCTTCACTTGAACTCATGCATTCTTGAAATGTATTCTTATTACACCTCATATCTTTCTTCAAATAGCATTTCCTTAACCAACAATCTTCATGGGTTATAAAAGTGAACTACACTACTCAAAATTAAGGGTTTATCGCTTACGATCTCTGGAGTTGATTCTACTCTGGACCATGCCCCTGGATTCATCCTTTACAATTCACCTTGTTACAATGGCTAGTAAGTATATTTATTTTATTTATATAATCATATATGTTAGGTAATATATTATAAAATATTCTTTTACCTTAGTTAGAAATTCAATAGACATTTACTATAGCCTACTATTTGCCAGGTGCACAGCCTACAAAAACAAAACAATGTGATGTGCCCTCAAGAAACAAAGTGAGAAAGAATCAAGTAAGTAAGGATAATAATACTGTCTAACAAAGTACAGTAGGAATTCATAGAATGAGTAAAGGTGGTTCAAGGTTGACCTCCCAATTCTATTAAAATTTGTTAACATACTACCTTACCGGATTATGGTCAACTACAGATGATCAGTAATAATGGAACTATTATATCCTGGAGTGAAAGTACAGCAAGGTGGTTAAAAAGTGTGAATTCTGGAACCACATGGCCTACATTACCATCTCTAGCTGAGGGACCCCAGGCAACCTCTAGGTGCCTCAGTTCCTCATCTGTAAAGTGGAATGAAAATAGAACCTAGTTTATAGACTATTTTAATAAAAGTAATAGTTTATACTAGTAATTAAACTAGTAAGTTTAATAATAGTAATCATAATGAGTTTAATGGTATCTACTTGATACTATTGAGGATTCAATGAGTAAAATACATGTACAGCATTCAGAACAGTGACTGACTCACAATAAATAATCATGAGGTATCAAAAATGCTAACAAAATTATCATTATTGTTGATATAAAATAGCAGGGACTAACTAATTCATTACTTGCCTTTGGAGTGCATTATTCCCCAATTTGAGTAGTTTTGTAATTACATGGAGTTAATTCAATATTAATGTCCTCAGAGAGGTTTAGTGTTAAGGACAAGAACTCTGGAGACAGCCAAACTTGAGTTCACTAGTGTGTGACCTGACCCCCAATTGCCTCAGTTTCATCATATGTAAGTGGAGATATCAAAAGTACCTCAATAACCATAATACTGGGAGGGTTAAATAAATTATTACAAGAAAATCACTTAGTAGGCAGCACATAAGATGTAGTAGGTGTCAGTCTTCTTGCATATGTAATAATAAAGCAACAGGGTGGGACAGTACTGGAATAAAATATACTTAAAAACTGAAGTTTTTCAAGAGGTTAAAAACTGCTTTTAGTAACCTACAAAATACTCTGTACCAGAAAACCACAAGGATAATTAACTATTCGTTGAAAAAGTACATCACATTTTAACCTAAAGGATCTTACTCAGCAATAGTCCAAGAAATGGAAAAGAAAGCAAAAAACAAGTTGATCACTTAGGTGGAAAACAGCACTGAAAGAATTCACTAAAAATAATTCACTACCGACTTTGGAAGAATTATAATAGCTAAACAATCAATTTGAAATGCTCACTTAAGAGAAATGAGGCCACTTTATAGACCAAGACTATATCTGATAGAAGCCTCATTCAAAGCTCATGCAAAGGTTTCTCAAAAATAGCATCGGTAAACAGAGATAAATAAGGAAGCCCGTTTTAAAGCTGATGAAAAACCAGACTAGTAAACTTAAGCACACAAACCACACCCCCGACGATGAACTTGATGCCTATTTTACCTTTTCTAGCATCTTCCTCTCTCTCTCTAGCCCAGCAGCTTCAAGCTGTTCTTCCTCCTCTACCATGGCTGGGGTAATCACGGCAGTCTCCGGCTGTTCAACCATATCGGGAGCTACGGACCCTAGAAGGGGACAAGGCTTTTAAATTGCAGCTTTAAAAAATGACCAGTTACTCAACTTCCGAGTAAACAACCTTCCTCCCTTTCCCAGGTGCATTTGCGGCAAACCATGAAGACCCAGGGGGACGCCAGTATCACCTCTCAAAAGACATCCTAAGCCTTCACTATGTCAACAAGTTGCCTGGACCCCAGTTTACAAATGGAGATGTTTGGGAAAACGCAGCTCCCCTGTGTCAAATTTCCTATACCATGCAAATATGCGCAGTTCCGGGTGTCCCCCACTCACTCCCCACAGAAAAGGTAACCCTCCTTTCCTCCTTAGTGTCTGCCCGGGGTCGCCTCTCCCCTCAAAAGCTCGGCGGCAGTCTCTCCATGCTGCTCCCGCACCCCCGCCCCGAACGCCGCCGCCCGCTCCGGGAGGCAGGTTCTCCTCACTCACCGCCGCTGCTGGCGGGGCGCTGCGCCGGCATTGCTGGACACACACTCCGGAACCGGGTGCCCTCCTCACAGCGCCTGCAACGCCGCGCGGTAAAACCTCCCAGCCGCTTGCCGGTCCCAGTCTCCCGGCCAGGTGTCCAGCCAGAGAAAAACGCGCGCTTCTCCTTCGCGGGAAAACGCCGTCATCTCGCGATACTTCGTGCTCTCCACCCCGCCCCCGAGTCCCGGTGGCGCGAGACTTGGCGAAGTTTGGTTTTCGTCAGAACTCTCTTGGGAGACTGTGAGCTTTTCAGAGGACCTCGGGTTTGGGGAAGCTGGGGAAGCTGGGTTCTGCTGCAGAAGTCAGCCTTAAACTAGCTGTGTGATACTAGGCGAGTCTGCCTACCGTGGAGGGCCCGGTTTCCTCACCTAATTGATGATGGTGCCGCACTATGCAGACTTCAGTAGCGCTCTTGTTTGCAAGGTACCTTCACACACTGGCTAATGTGATTAAATCCTGCCAACGGATGATCCTTTAGGTAGAAAGATGTACTGAGTATCCAGGTGAAGATGTCAGACTAATATTGCTAAACTTTGCCACCATCTGCAGTTCACATTTTGAGTGAAAATTCCCCGAAATGACCCAGAAGAGGGCTCTTTTTGTGGCTGGGATAGGAGAGAGAAATAAGATTATGGTAGCGTTCTTGTTGAAAAGTTATTTCAGGATAAGGGAGAACTTAATGCAGTGATAAGCCTACCGGAGTGGCCAGTAGAAAAGACGTAAGGTTCAGGAATTCAATAGACCAGTTATTAGAGAAGGCACCTGAAGGGAGGAGCTGAGCTTTTCTTGTCCCTTGGTTTTCACTTCAGCCTTCAGTCCCTCCCTTTCTTACCTGCAGTCCCTTTTAACAAGTTCTTTTGCCACCCCTCGCCCCAACCTCAGAATTTATGGTATACCTGCCATGTAACCACCTGTTTCCTCCATTTCTGACTCCAACAACTTTAATTATTTGTAATTGTACAAAATTTAGGGGTTTACAATGCACGTCACGTCCCTCATAACCATCTTCAGCAACCTTCATAACACTGAGATTAGCAGAGCAGATTGTTTTTATCCCTACGTTATAGGTGAGAAAACTGATGCTCACAGAGGATAAATTAACTTGCCCAGAAGCCTACAGTCACTTTGTGATACAACAGTAGCCAAACCCAGGTCTTTGGAAAACTAGTTCAGTATTAAGATAAATTATAACCTCCATTAGTAATTATTCTTAAATCATACCTCTTTCTTATCAAAGACAATAGCTATCAGTCAGTCTCACACTACTAAGATTTCTGACCTTCACCAAACTAACTCCGAAATTTCTTGCCCCGACTTCTGAAATACTGCTTTTTACAGGGGTTTCCCCTAAGGTACTGAAAATCTTTTCTTGTTCCCTCTTTTGAACTCAATTGTGGCCCACCTCCCCAGTCTTTCCTGTTTTTTCTCTTGTTCCATGCAGTATCTGCTCTACAGACTTCGATGATCAACTCAAGGCGAACAACTTCCCTTCTGATTCCTCAGAGATCAAATGGGGAAGATTTATTCAAACACACGTGGGATGGAATTCAAGGCAATTTCATCTCATTCTCAAAGGACAGGAATCTCATCTAATATTTAGCCCCACACTTGACACGAGTTGCACTGGGTGTTTCCTCACATGTTTGCCACTGTGCAGACCTCAAGAGTGGCTATGAAAAGTTTTGTTCATTCACTTTAAGGGTATACATTTAAATGTCATCTGGGTACCTGTAACTTTTCTAGGTGCTGTACAGCAGTGAACCAGGCAAACAGGATTCCTGTTGATATGGAACTCACCTTCCAGGAGTTGAGACAACTACGTATATGTGAGAAATTCTCTGCAAAATATTAGAACAGAGTGGTGTGAGAGTAACTGGGTAGTTAGTTTAGACTGGGTAGTCAGGTATCTGAGGAAGTGACAGACTTTTAAGCTGAAAACCAAATGTCAAGCAGCCAGCTAGTCCAGGGGAAGAATGGGCCAAGCAGAAGCTACAGCTAGGGCAAAGAGAATAAGGCAGGAATAAGCTTGGGTATGTTTTGAGTATCAGAAGAAGACCAGTATGATTGAAGCAGAGTTGACAAGAGGGTGTGGCACAAAAAATCAGAGGTAGACTGTCCAGATGAGCCACAAAATGCCGTCTTCTTCTAGATTTCTTAATGGCTTCACCATCCACCCAATCAAAGAAGTGAAACAAAACAGTCAAAAAACAAAACCACTGCTCCCTCTTGCTTATATGGCCCCACTTCCTGCCTACCTCACAAAGTAAACAATGGCTACGAGACAGAACTCCCCTTCCAGATTCCCAACACCAAACTTACAAACCTACCTGCATCTGACACCTTTTCCACTTTCTCTCATGATATGCTCTGGATCCATCTCCCTGCAGCCTATTCAGGAACCTTAGATTATACATTACCCCATTCACTCTTTATTTCTTAAACCTCTACTGAATATTTTTCATTAGTACTTAAATACTTGAACACACACCAAAGTAACAAAGGAAATCAATGACTATGCATGGTCAAATTTAATGGACATCTCTCAGTCCTCATCTCAACCTCATTGACACCTGACACTATTGATCACTTCTTTATGGAAACACATTTGGCCCTTGTTTTTTCTGACCCCCACACTCTCCTGATATTCCTATTTCTGACGTCTACTAGTTCATTCTTCTCTAGCCAATCTCTAAGTGTTGAACTTCTGAGTGAACCAGAAATGATCTGAGTTTCTAACTAATTGTATAAGCTAGTAAAAATATTTTAAATGAAAGGTAAGTTCACTAGGAATGGTCCAAAATAAAAACAATCTGTTCATCCATATCTATCATGTGTAGTGCCAAGCGCTATTTTGGGCACTAGCAATTCGGAGGTAATAAAAGACAAGACAATCTTTCTGAACTCAGAGTTTACATTGTAGTGGAAACAATAGACAACTATATAAAATAATGTTAGCTAGTGGTAAATAATAGATAACTATAAAGAAATATGAAGTACGGTAAGGTCATGATACTGACAGAGGATGGGTAGAGAACAGTCTGACTCTGAGTAAACAGACATTAAGTAGAGACCTAAATGAGAAGATAATATAAACCATACGAAGACTTAGGCAAAGAATATTTCCAAAGGAAAAGTAAGAGTAAAAGCCCTTAGGTAGATAGGAAATTGGGAGATTGAGAAATTAGATCCACAGTGAAGTTAATAAGGTTGAGTGGCAGTTGAAATTGTAGAGATAGAGACTAGAATAAATAGGAACTTGTAATAAAAATTTGGATTTTTATTATGAGGAATGTCACTAGAGGGTCCTGACTAAGGAATAATAGGATTTGATTCACATGTTTAAAAGATCATAAAACATGCAGTCCAATTAAAAGTGTGATGAGAATTGTTTACTTTTTCAACGGCTCACGTAAGTGGCTTTAAAAATCAAATCAGAACTATTACCACTAAGTTATGACAAATTTACTGCATACACAATTTATTTAAAATCACTTGGTATAAATTAAGAATAAAACAAACCCTATCATTCAAACACTTTCCAATTTATTTTCACACTTTAAAGCCCAAACACAGGCATTCAAAGCATTTTACAATCTACAAAAGTTTTAATCAAGTTAATACTTCCCTTTCAAAGTTTTTTAAGAATATAGAAGCTAAAATTAAAAGCCTTGGGATTTGATAATCAGAATACATCATGTACTTACAATATTGATTATCAATACTGCTTAGACCAAAAACATTTGAGGCTTCACTTTCTGCTTTTATACCATTTTGTATAGTGTTGTACATGAAGATGAAAAATGAGAACAAATGTATATACCCCATTGTTATCAATTTTATATACTCCTTCACGTCTATATTAATCATTTACACTTTTATTACAAAAATGATTTTTTCAAATATATTGCAATAGTACATGTCATTTTTACCTTAAATAAAATAATGGAAGTACTGTTTACTTAAACGTTCAAAAAATGAAGCACTTTAAAAATTTATTTATTAATTTTGGCTGCGTTGGGTCTTCGTTGAGCACGTGGGCTTTCTCTAGTTGTGGCGAGCGGGGGCTACTCTTCGTTGTGGTGCGTGGGCTTCTCATTGCGGTGGCTTCTCTTGTTGCGGAGCACGGGCTCTAGGCGTGCGGGCTTCAGTAGTTGTGGCACATGGGCTCAGTAGTTGTGGCTTGCAGGCTCTAGAGCACAGGCTCAGTAGTTGTGGCACACGGGCTTAGTTGCTCCGTGGCATGTGGGATCTTCCCAGACCAGGGCTCGAACCTGTGTCCCCTGCATTGGCAGGCGGATTCCTAACCACTGTGCCACCAGGGAAGCCCGCAATGCAATTTTCGTAAAGTCAAATTTCCTTCTTGGAGTATTTTAGAAAATAAACCCAACTCACATAATAAAATGTACAAAATAAAACCTCAATTGGAACCAAGAGAAGATCAATATGAATGGTAGAATGTTTATAAAGAAATGCAGTTTTGCTAACTTCCCAAGCCTTGTAACTTTATGTAGCCTATCAAAATATTGAGGCAGTGCTTGGCACATAATCAGGGCTTACCGAGTGTTCCTGCATTCATTCAAAGTACGAAGTAGCTCACTTCTGCATTACACTCTTAGTAAATAAGCAATGTTTTTTATTGCAGCATAGTTGATGTACAGTGTTGTGTTAGTTTCAGATGTACAACAAAATGATTCAGTTATACATATATATGTATATATATATATTCTTTTTCAGATTCCTTTCCATTATAGATTATTAAAAGATATTCACTATAGTTCCCCATGCTATACAGTAGGTCCTTGTTGTTTATCCATTTTACATATAGTAGTGTATATCTGTTAATCCCAAACTCCTAATTTATCCTCCTCCCTTCCCCCTTTGGTAACCATAAGTTTGTTTTCTATGTCTGTGAGTCTGTTTTGTAAATAAGTTAATTTGTATCACTTTTTTTAGATTCCACGTATAAGTGATATTATATGTATTTGTCTTTCTCCTTCTGATTTATTTCACTTAGTATGATAATCTCTAGGTCCATCCATGTTGCTACAAATGGCATTATTTCATTCTTTTTTATGGCTGAGTAATATTCCATTGTATACATATTCCACATCT